AAAAAAAGCCGGCCGGCCGGGTCTATTTAAAAGTTTCATGTTATGAAAACCAAGTAATTAAATTTGTATGGCCTAAAGTCTAAATATTTTTTAATAAACTTAATAAGCTTTAAAAATTAATCAAATATAATAATAAAAAGTATTGATATTTATTATAAAAATTTGTTTAATTTCTATTAACTCATCCCACATATTTAGTAAGCATTTTGATATTCAATTAAATATATATTTTAGATAAGCTTAATCATAAAATTTTTATTTTATATCTAACGCTAATTGCAAAATAATGTAGAAGTCGTGTAACAATATTCAACATACCCAATTAATGTAAATGAATGACGCGTAAATAAGGCGCGTCCGATTATAAAATCAATATTTATAAACATTCCGATCGCTTTTTTTGCATTCCAAAAAAAAAAAAATCATATTACATAATCACATATATTTACTGTATTTATATTTACAAGAAAACAAAATTTTCAGTTATACACAAATAAACATATTTAAAAGGAAATAAAAAAGAAAAAAGGACAAAATGGGTAGGCTCGGTGGATTGGGATATTCGTTGTAAAAGTTTTAAACATGAAATAATGAAAAAAAAAAAAATACAAAAAAAGGTTGATGTCCACCAAAGATATTTACGAAGAAAAAGGTTTTGTGGAAAAAATATATACTGAAAATAAGAGTGCAAGGTGATACACCTGAATGCCGCTTGCTATAAAACCGGATTGATCGTTCACATGCATGAGCGCACCGGTGTACCCCTTCCATTAATAATAATATATGTCTTTGATCCATACTGTAACTATATATCCTAGAGTCCATAATTCTATCACTGAGCGAAATATTTGTCCCTCCGTTTTCGCTCGTGAAAAAAAAAAAAGAAAAAAAAATCTTACAGGAAAGGCCATTTAAGCGAGTTATATAGATATATAATGGCTATGTACAAAATTTAAGAGAAAAATTATTCTCCAAAAAAAAAAAAGGGATTTACAAATAAAAATAAAATAAAATAAAATAATAAAATAAAATAAATCATATCATATACACATATAAATATTAATTAATTAATTAATATACATATACGCTAGGAGATATGTACATTAGTTTAACTAGATAATTTACGAAATAGCTTTTCAAAAAAAAATAGATTGAAAAGCACAAAAATAAATCATATAAATAGATGAAAGGGTAAGAAATGAATAAACAATAATAAATGTTCATTGCCACTCGTCGCCTACTCGATTCATCTTTTATTTTAAATTTCATGCTCGCTCGGCCATTTTTCATATGTACTTTAAAATTTTGTAAAATAATAATAATAATAAAAAATTAAGAGTTATCCAACAACTTGATCACTAGTGTTGCCGTACAAATGAATGAAATTGATTTCATCAGGCATAGTCATGGTCATACTCGAATTGACAGAATTGGTATCAACATCAGTTGGCGTTAGAGGACTCCAGTGAGCGACACCCGTATCAGAAACTTTTATTTCAGTAGTATCTACGATCGGTAATTTGGTTTTAAAATCCAATCCAAAATTCCACATCTGACGTTCTTTCAAAGTGGGCCAAACAGTTGAATCTAGACTGTGTCCTCGAAGTAGCTCTGGTGCGGTGAGAGGTTCAGATGATTGATTAGTTCCTAAAATCGGGTGCATATTGAATTGATAGGCTGTTTGATTGGATGTAATATTTGAAATGTTTGATTCTAATTCTGAATTATGTTCAGATTGAAATTCAGAAGCATTGGTAGACAAGTTGTATCGGTTGATAGGTTCGGAAAACCGACGTTTAGTCTGTTTACAATTTTGATAAATTATTTTAAATAAGCATATTATATGGATATATCAGTTATGATAAATCTATTTTAATTTAAAATTGTCATTACCTGTCCAGGTGCGGCTAAGAATTGGTTCATATTAGAATCATGATACAGTGTCTCATCCTCAATTATGGTCGATAGAGATCGCTTTTCTTCTGGAGTTCCAAGTTTCATGTTGAGAATGGATGCCATCAATTCGGGACAAGAATTACGACGAGCGTTCGCGTATGTACCGGCGGAGTGCATGGGTTCATTGGAATCAACCGCATCTTTGTCACTAATTACAGAGCTAACGGTAGGACTGTAAGCATACTCGGTAAAGTAATCCGAAATAGTGACGGCAGATTGAGGGGTGGATAAAGGAAGAAGGTTGTCAATGTGATCATACACATACTCGGATGCCACGGTTGATGCAGAAGACACGTTTGAATGCATCCATTCTCCGTCATCGTGTTGAGAATTCGCCGGTTTCTGAATGAGCTGTCGCTGCTGAACCATGTGCTCATATTCTTCTTGTGTATCCCAGCTAGTTTTGAGAGGGTCGATGTTTGGTTTCTGACGAGACCTTTTTGGCAATTGATCATTTTCTGTTTCACGAGCAAGCATACCATTGACGGGCTTTGGTTGGTCAACGTAAAATGTTGTATCATTTGGATTTCCTTCATACCCACAAAAGACTTCTGATGGACTATTAGCGGTACTTTCCACTGCTTGATCATTGATATCACTTGATGAATCACTTTCAACACATTCTTGGCCACCATGTTCCGTGGTTGTAACAGAAATTGTTGAGTCAGCCGTGGAAAAGAACGTTTCTAAAGAGTCTGTTGGGCTAGATACTATCAAACCTTCAGATGTGCATTCAGGTGAAGAGCTATCATCGACAGTTTTCTGTTTTTTTGCCTTTGCACGTCGATTTTGAAACCAGACTTGTACACCACGAGGGGTCATATTTAACTTTTGAGCCAACGCTTGACGAACTGCAGCATGAGGTTTAGGATTCTCATTGAAGGCCTTTTCGAGAATTTTTAGTTGTTGACGAGAAGTACGACGTCTATGTTTCACTTCAAACGGATTGTAAAAAGTAGGTTTGAATTCACCGTGAGGTGACTGATGAAAAGCGTCAAACATTTGTGGAGCTGGGTGAGCTTGTTGTTGTGGTCTTTCCGGCGCTGCTGCCACTATTGCTTCTGATAAATTTCGTTCGTTATAATTCATTGTTTATCTCCTGTTTATTTTCCGAATATTTTTCGAAGAAAAGAAAAAAAAAAAAAAAAAAAAAAAAGAAAAAATAGATAGGCGACTTGTGCACTTTTATAAAGCCAACTTCAACTGAAGACGTGTAATCAAGGGAGACAGGGGCTGTGTCCCAAATCCCAATCTAAAGAATGAGTTCAGGATGCCAGTTGCATAAATAGAACATTAAAAAAAAAAACGATCGGGTCACTGAGCGAAAGCAAAAAAAGGGATGGCAGGACAAGCCACACGCAGGAGAGAAGTTTGATTGGCGGTCGTTACGAGGAGATGATTACACAGGTTCCCAAATTTATACTTGCGAATCAAATGACAATACGGTTACTGTTATCTGGTATAAAAATTCTTCATAGTGTCATTTTATTTAATTCAACGGGAAAAGGAAAATTTTTCGGCCGAAATTAATTACCTCTACATATTTTTTCTTCTTTTTTTTTCGCTAGATTATTTTTTTCTATCTTGGAGAACATAGAACTACCCCAAATTATTTCTCTTAATTAAAGTAATAGTGCTCAAGCCGTCATCTATTATCGTCAAATCGACAGTCATATATGGAACTTTCAATTATCTATTATTAGCCTAGCAATTACTTTTCCGAGTATTAATTGCAGAAACGTTACTTGCACAATTTGTATTTGGCAGGTTCCGTGCTTCGAAACACCTAAATTATTAGTATATGTACTGTACATGCCTAATTGAAAAATAATGTTGTGAGACAATACGGAAAGGCCAAATCTAAATATTTACTAAGATAATCAAATATCAATGCTATTATTATAATAGTATTAAATATTAATGCGACTAGGGCGCGAATTACTGCAAATACTAAAAGGTGTATTATGATTCGCGGCACAATCATCTTTTATTTATTACTTACCAGTTTATTAATAATTCAATCTCGTATTTTTCGAATTAGCAATATTTATTTATAGAATAATTTTCTTTTTTTGTAAAATTTGTGTAGTGCAGTAGTGATTAAGGCATACAGTTTAGTCACATGATTCTCCTTGCTAATCCTGTTATGTAGTAAATAATATAACTTGTCTTATTGTAATTTACACAAGAAAAAGTTTATCGTTATGTATTGTTAAAATTATTGTTTAAAAAATTAAATATTTGGGCAAAATATAAATACTCGAATTTCCTGCATAATAAATATATCGTATATACTGTTTATTGTACAATATACAATATATTGAAATATAAACCTTTAGGATTCGATACGACATATATTGTGTTCTAAATACTTTGCCTAAATAATTATTTAGACCAGATTGACGTCTGAAACAAATTGACAAGATAAAATTTGTCAAATTGACATCTGGCTATTGATAATTGAAACAAGTTTATAATAGCTAAAAATTATATGTACGTATGTACGTAAGTACTTATACGTATACATATTCATATATAAATTTATATTATATATATATATTATTTGTAATAATATAAATAATTTTTATAAAAATAAAAATTAAATTAAATTATTGTATTTTTTTATTTTAGTATAATTATATACTATGGTATATAATATACAGAATAGACTACATAATGTGTAGTATTATATTTTCAAATTCTTTATTTATAACTAATTTAAACATTATTTTGCTTACTATAATATAAAAAATACAAGCTACAACTTATTACTGTATTATTGGCTTAAAAAAGAAAAAAAAAAGAATTTTGTAATTTTTTTTAAATTTTTTTTTTTTTAACATTCAAAGACTAGAGTTTATTGATATTTTAGATGTATTAGTTACAAGAACCTTATTACAAATTGTATTTATAATATTAAATTTAATCTAACCAACTATATCTAATATATAGAGAGGGTCAAATACAATTTGTTGACTATCACTCTTTCCGATGATCACCTGGACCAAAACTTCCAACTAAAAAGGAGAAATAAGAAGTCTGTTGGAGAGTTGTGTAGACTACTAGAATGGTTTGTAGAAAGGTTAACTGGGTCTAGGGACTCCTTTCTACGTTCGGCATGTAAGCAGGCAGTGCTTATTACTCAAGTATAAATTTTGGTGGATTCGTTTATCGACAAAGTTCTATAGTTTACTGTTCTAAGATCTACAGTAGTGGTTTTTAGAGTACAACAAAGTGGTCAACCTTCTTTTTGGGGACTCTCTCCTATATTCGACATGCAAGCCAAAAGCCTAGAAACAGAAGTGAAAAAGCAGGCAGCACTTACTGCAAATAGAAAAAATTTTGGTAGGCACAGACCTGTCGACGAAACTACAAAAACCTTGGAACCCAGGTATACAACAGTCATCTTATTTTTCTTAAGCCACACTCTTTTATTTGGACAAGTGGTTCCTTTTTTTTCTTTTACTCGCCTCCTTGTCGGTTTTCCAAAATTTTCTGCAAAAAATGGAGGATTTGGCTTATTTCTCCAAAAGATTGGCATTGTTTACTTTTCAAATTCAGACAGACTCAATAGATTGCAACCATGTGACATGTCTGTTTACAAATATGGTGCTACTCCAAGGAAGTCAGATCAGAATCTCCGATTAAAGAGATATCCGAAAGCGGTTATAAGTCGAAAGAAACCCATACGTTAAGGCGAAGCTTTATATTAGAGATATACAATCGTTGCATTTGTTATATAATTTTTTAGCTTTGCACAGATTATAATAATGCATTTTGGTTATGTAGAGAGATGAAATTTCTCTCGAACTGTTATCTTTTTTCTATAAAATGTTTTTTTATTTTTTCTCATTTTTTCATTTTTTGGGTTTTTTTTTATTTTTATATTTCATTCATTTTCCCTATTACTCCTTTTATATCACCTTTTTAGTTACAAGTCTTTTTTTTTTATAGATTTTTTGATAAGATAATTCTGGTTTGTCCATAAACTGGTGCAACAGGTTGCATTTAGGACCGTAAGGTAACCAAGTGAAGTTGGGCTTTGAGTTTTATAAATTAAATATATATACATCAGCAAATTATATAAACATAATCTTACGTAAGATATTACGGCCCGTAATATCATGCAAGAATTATGGTCTGGACATAATATTGCACAATTTATTACATAATATTACGCAATTTATTACGGAGTATTACGTAATTTATTACGGAGTATTATGCGATTTATTTTGAAATATGTTTAAAATATTTTGAAATATCAAAAGAATTTTATTACCGGCAATGGTATCACGTAATGAGTAAATTACTTATAGAATCAAGAAAATTTATTAATGTACTATACGTATATATTATTTTATTAATATGGTAAACAATATATACTATCAAACTACATCATCCTTACATTATCATATACAACCAATTTTAATACCATATTACGGA